GCCCCAGCTGCCTCCCCTGCCCCTGCTGCCTGCCCTGCCCCTGCTGCCTTCCCTGCCCCTGCTGCCTCCCCTGCCGCCTCCCCTGACCCTGCTGCCTCCCCTGCCCCGGCTGCCTCCCCTGCCCCGGCTCTGTGCTCCTCCATTGATAAGGACACAGAAGCTGCAGCTCCTGGCATGTCGCTAGGTGAGAATTGGCAGAGCCCTCGCTCCGACCAGCGTTGGAAGTGCCGGATGGCACTCACTGAGGGCCCGGTTCTCCTTGTGCTAGCCATGGCAGGGGCCAGACATGCCCAGCCTGGGGTGGGAATGGAGCTACTGAGGCCGTAGCTGCAGTGATCTCCGGGCACTGCTCACGAGTAAAGAAATAAGGAAGACGCAGTAAGGAAGTAACGAGCCCCGCCAGGCCAGGAACGCGCAAGGTGCCCTGAACTTGACATGCGGGTGCGTGCGGTGGGCCTCCAGCAGAGCGTCTGTGTGCCTCTGGGCAGACGGGGGCTCAGCAATGAACCGCAGCATCTGAGGCTGAGCCTCACAGGGAGGTGCCCAGGTCAAGGCCAGAGGCCTCCCTGAGGACATCAGCCACACGCTTACCCATGGCCTGGAGCCGGCCGAGGGCTGGGGGCTGATCGTGGCTCTGTGATGCTGCTGGTGGTATAATCTGTCTCTCTCAAAAGTAAATAAACTTAAAAATAAATAAATAAAGACAGTTTGTAAGCTTTTAGAAAAGCATAGTACACAGCGACAGAGAAGTCACCAGGGGTGGGGCCAGTTCCAGGAAATGTACAGGACAGGTGAGATCTAAATAAAAAACGGGAGAGGTAAGAACGGGAGGGGCTGGAAAAAAGCTGTCCCCTGACTGTCCCGTCTGTCACCGGGGAACCTGCAGGCAAAGCCGTGGTCTGGCCTGGTCTCAGTCCGGGGCAGGGCCTGTGCTGGGCAAGGGTGGGCTGGTGTGGGGCCGTGGCAGGGAGGTCTGGCCAGGTCTCAGTCTGGGAACAGGGCCTGTGCCGGGCAAGGCTGGGCTGGCGTGGGACCATGGCAGGGCCTGCGCCATGGCTCACAAGTGGCATGGAGACCTGAGTAGGCAGCCATCCGCCCCTCCCCATCAGCCCAGCCTCAGAACTCAGCTTCTTTTCCTTTTGGAAGTTAGAAGGTGGCCATGGGCAACATGAAAGCTCCTGCCAGCGCTTCGCATTCACGCTGACCCCTGCTCAAACCCTGCATGACCTCACATGACTCCCACAGAAGGGCCGGGGAAGGGTCGGGGCAGTGCCAGGCAGAGCATGGACACTGGCTCAGACAGGCCCCCGGTTTCCCGAACTGACCTTCAAAGCGCCAGGACCTTGGAAAAAAATCCCTGCAGAGAAACAATGAGCCATCTCTTCCGACCTCAGAGAGCCCACGCCCTCCAAGCTGAGGTGGGCAGGGAGGCTTTGACGGGGTCTGCCCTCCCCGAAGGGTCACAGGGTGTGGGAGCTCCGGCACCCCCGAGGGGCTCATTGAACTGAGACGCACACGGGGGTGTATGTGCGCCCAGGATCCTGATGGGATGTGGAATTAGAGGAAAAGGATTGTTGGGAGGCCCTGTTTGGATTCTCTCTCTCTCTCTCTCTCGCACCCTTTGGCATTGAAAGAAAAGGTTTATTATTATTATTATTATTTTATTATTTTAAGTCAGGACCTGTCCAGGCCTGGTGCTTGGGCTCACTCCCTTCCCTACCTAGGGCTCCCAATCGGTTGCTTCTCTGGGCTCACGTTTAATGACTCCGAGCTCTGGTATTCAGGCCTCTGACCTGGAAGCGAGATTCAGGGCCATTTTCTTTGCTTCCCCAACGCCGTTCCCCTGCTCCTCGGAGCGTGGCCCCATCCTTACAGGTGCGCTTTCCGCTCAGGACCCAGAGCCCTCCGCCAGACCCATTGCCCACCCAGATTGACCCCTGGCCCTGGCCCCCCGCCCCAGCAGGGTGCCCTCCAGGCAGTGTGGGGACTTTTCAGGATGTCACTTCAGGGAGGCATCTTCCCACATCCCAGCGGTTTTGTCTTTGTCCAGAGAAAACCCTTTTTCTGAAGACCAAGCAGTGAGCCTTTCGTAGTGCTTTGAGATTTCCAGATGGAAGCTCTGTTCCTTAAAAGATCATGCACTGAACTTCCCTTCCTGCAACCCCAGACGCCAGCTCTCCGCGGGCTCCCTCAGTCCTTGGGAACCAGGCCCTGTGAAGGACCCTCTCCTCTCCCGCAGCCCTGAGCAGACCTGAAGGCCTCGGCATTTGTCCTGGGGTCCCCCAGCGCCGTGGCCCGGTTCTCAGGTGTGTTCATTTGACCAATGGGCGCCTCCCCTCTTTCTACCCTCCCGCAGGGGCCCACTTCCATCGCCAGGGATGGAGTCTGGACTGCGCGCCTCTCTGAAGCCAGAGCCCAGCCTCGGCCCTGTTCTCCCCTGAAATGAGCGCTCTCGGGGCGCCCCCTCGTGGACAGTGGAGCTAGCCAGCCCTGAGTGCCGAGCGATGGCCGCTGCCCTGGCGCCGCGCCCACAGCCTGCTGCGGGGAACCAGACGCTGCAGGAACATTACAACTACGTGGGGAAGCTGGAGGACAGGCTGAAGGACGCCTCCGAGGCCAGCACGCTCACCACTGTGCTCTTCCTGGTCATCTGCAGCTTCATCGTCCTGGAAAACCTGATGGTTCTCATCGCCATCTGGAAAAACAATAGGTTTCACAACCGCATGTACTTCTTCATCGGCAACCTGGCTCTCTGCGACCTGCTGGCTGGCATCGCCTACAAGGTCAACATCCTGATGTCGGGCAAGAAGACATTCAGCCTGTCCCCGACCATCTGGTTCGTGAGGGAGGGCAGCATGTTCGTGGCCCTGGGGGCGTCCACCTGCAGCCTGCTGGCCATCGCCCTGGAGCGGCACTTGACCATGATCAAGATGAGGCCGTACGACGCCAACAAGAAGCACCGCGTCTTCCTGATGATCGGGGGGTGCTGCC